CACGTCGCTAGAGACAGCACGAAGAGAAACGGGCCGCCCGAGGGGACGAGAGAACCGGTTACACAGCAAGGGCTTCAAAAGCGAGACGTGAAACGTGTTCGGGATACGCATGGAAGGAGGCAGGTCAAGGGAGTAGGAAACAGGGTTAACCCTACATAACACCCTGTAGGGACCAAGAAACCTGGGAGCAAATTTCATAGAGGGAACCTTGAGACGGAGGTTCCTGGAGGACAACCAAACCCTATCACCCGGAACATAAGAAGGGGCCGCAACCCTACGGCGATCAGCAAACTTTTTCTGAGCAGCCGCTGAACGAGAAAGCGCAACATGGACCTGATCCCACGTCCTCCGCAAAGAGGCAAGGTGCTGGTCCAAGGCGGACATTCCCTTGTCGGAGAACGCACCGGGAAGGACAGAAGGTCGAAACCCATAAGCAACCTCAAAAGGACTTAAGCCAGTAGACGAATGAGACACCGTATTCCTGGCAAATTCAGCCCACGGAAAGAGGCGAGACCAGTCATCCTGGTGCGCATTAGTGTAGCAGCGCAAATACAATTCCACAGACTGATTAGCACGTTCGGCCGCACCATTAGATTGCGGGTGATAAGAGGAAGAGAACGACAAGGAGACCCCCATCTCAGCACAAAAGCCCCTCCAAAACCGAGAGACAAATTGAGGACCCCTGTCAGATACGATATCCTGAGGTACCCCATGCAAGCGGAACACTTCTTTGGCAAACACCTGAGCTAACTGAACCGCAGAAGGTAGTTTCTTAAGCGGAATAAAGTGCGCCATTTTAGAGAACCTATCCGTCACAGTCAGTATCACCGTCTGACCATCAGAAAGAGGAAGGTCTACAATGAAATCCATGGATAAGTGGGTCCATGGTTTCTTGGGTATAGATAGAGGCATCAGTAAACCCTGGGGTCTCACATTAAGGGACTTACACTGCGTGCAGACCCGACAAGCCTGAGCAAAATCCACTACGTCTCGCTTGAGTGAAGGCCACCAGAACTGTTGAAGAAGGCCCTTGTAGGTTTTGGTAACCCCCGGATGACCAGCAGTTTTGGCGGTGTGAAATAAAGTTAACAACTTTTTTCTGTCATTTGCTTCTACATATAGTTTACCAACCGGCGTCTCAGGGGGTGCTTGGGTTTGGTATGTCTTAATACTATCAAGGAAAGGTGAAGAAACAACCAAACGGGTAGCAGCTATTATCTGAGACGCAGGTATAATAGGTTCAGGTGTCGGGTTAACAAATTCTACTGGTTCATGCTGTCGAGAGATAGCGTCAGCTTTGGCATTACGGCAACCAGGTCTATAGGTAATAACATATTGGAAGCGTGAGAGAAATAGAGACCATCTAACCTGCCGGGCAGATAACCTTCTAGCATCGGCTATATAGGAGAGGTTCTTATGATCTGTTATAACCATAATTTTGTGTCTAGAACCCTCTAATAAGTACCTCCATTCCTTAAAAGCTAACACAATAGCTAATAGTTCCCTGTTCCCAACATCGTAATTCTTCTCTGGATCAGACAACCTTTTAGAAAAATAACAACAGGGATTGAGGGGTTTGTCATACGACAACCTCTGTGACAGTACTGCTCCCACACCCGACTCAGAAGCGTCTACTTCCATAACAAAGGGAAGAGAAGGATCAGGGTGGTGCAGCACTGGGGCAGAGGCAAATGCCTTCTTGAGGGTTTCAAAGGCCTTAAGGGCTTCAGGAGTCCAAACCCTAGGGTGTAGACCTTTTTTTGTCAGCTTCGTTATAGGAGAAATGAGTGGTGAAAAGTTTTTTATAAATTTCCTATAATAGTTGGCAAATCCTATAAAACGCTGGATAGCCTTCAGTCCTTGGGGAAGTGGCCAGGACAGTATAGCTTCCAATTTAGCAGGATCCATACTGAAACCCTGTTCAGTAATGATATATCCTAGGAATTGCACAGAGGTCTGATCGAATAAACATTTTTCTAACTTACAGTAGAGTCCGTTCTGTAATAGCCTTTTGAGCACCATCCTAACATGGTTATGGTGTGACTTCAAATCAGGAGAATACACAAGTATGTCGTCAAGGTACACCACAGCACAGACATGCAATAGATCCCTAAGGACATCATTTATGAGGTCCTGAAACATGGCAGGAGCATTACACAGTCCAAAAGGCATGACCAGATATTCGTAATGCCCACTGCGTGTGTTGAACGCTGTCTTCCACTCGTCATTCTCCTTTATACGGACAAGGTTATAAGCCCCCCTGAGGTCTAATTTGGTGAAGAATTTAGAACCTTTAACACGATCAAACAACTCAGTGATGAGGGGGATAGGGTAGGCGTTTTTAACCGTTATATTGTTCAGACCCCTGTAGTCTATACATGGCCTCAAATCGCCCTCCTTCTTTGCCACAAAGAAGAAACCAGCACCAGCAGGAGAGGAGGACCTTCTAATAAAACCTTTACTTAGGGATTCCCGTATGTACTCCTCCATGATCTGGTTTTCTTTCTCAGAAAGAGGGTAGACCTTTCCCCTAGGAGGCATAGTACCCGGTAAGAGGTTTATGGCACAATCATACTCACGATGTGGAGGTAGCTTATCTGCCTCCCTTTTTTCAAAAACCAAGGCAAGGTCTGCAAATACAGAAGGGACAGAAACCAAGAGTGGTTTAGCCGTGGGAACGTTAAGTAAACAAACAGGACGCACATGAGCCATACAGTCTCGTTGACAAGATTCCCCCCAGGAGAGTATATCTAAACAACCCCAATCAAGAACAGGGTTGTGTTTAACTAACCAGGGAAAACCCAGAACGATGGAGGCTGTAGGGGAGTCAATTATTTGGAAGGTTAACTTCTCCTTGTGCAAAACACCCACAGACATAACTATTTCCTGGGTTTCATGGGTCACCAGAGGTTTCTCCAGTGGTCTACCATCTATGGCCTCAACGGCCAAGGGTGTATCCTTTCGGATCAAATTCAGGGCTGCGGTTTTGGCAAAGGTCTCATCCATAAGGTTGTCTGCCGCACCTGAATCGATCAGGGCTTTGGTTGTTATAGTGGTTTTATTGCCCAAAAGAGAAACCGTAATAAACGGTCTGGAGATGGACACATGAGGGGACAAAGTCATAACACCCGAGGCCGACACAGGTGCTGCAGTTTCCCTGTACTTTAGGGCAGGCTTTACAGTGGTGCCCCCTCTTCCCACAATAAAGGCATAACCCCTCCCTTCTACGGTACGCTCTTTCGGCCTCAGTTAACCCGGTAGCACCCAACTGCATGGGTTCAGGGGATGGTTGCCTAGGAGCGGGTAACGCTAGCAGTGCAGTACTGGGTAGAGTAGGTAACACCCGTGTATCCAACCGTCTTTGACTACGCCTCTCTCTAATACGGTTATCGATAAGAATCACATAGTCTATAACATCATCTAGAAGAGCAGGCAATTCCCTGGATGCTATTTCATCCAGTATATAAGCGGCCAAACCCTCCTGAAATGCTGTTACGAGGGCGTCATTATTCCAAACCACTTCAGCTGCTAGAGTGCGGAATTCGATAGTGTAATCTGCCACAGATTTGTTACCCTGTCGGACCCTAAGCAGAGCCTTGCCAGCAGAAGCAACCCTACCGGGTTGATCAAACGTGCGTCTGAAAGCTGTCAGAAAATCTGCAAAGGACATAGGAGACGTATTTTCCCAAATGGGGTTGGCCCATGCTAAAGCTCTCCCGGACAAGTGGTTTATCAAAAAGGCAATTTTAGATCTGTCAGTGGGATAGGAACGTGGATTCATCACCAAATGGATGTCGATTTGGTTGAGGAAACCACGACACTATGCTGGGTCACCGCTGTAGCGCTGTGGCGGCGTCATGTGAACTACATGAGCGGGAACGGGTACTGGAGTGGGAATGGGTTCAGGCATAGCAGCAGCAGCCTCCTGAACGGCAGGTTGCAAGTGTGCAGTACGAGCCAGTATGGTTTGCAAAGCTTGAGCAAACTGATCCATACGGTGGTCCAAGCCATCCATTCTAGCCTCTTGATTAATTAGGAGCTGTGGTATGTCAACAGGTTCCATTATGGCCCTGTTGTAATGTCACGATTCGGGGAACCCAACACGCTGACACACACACACACACACACAGAAAAGGTGCCGTACCGGACCTTAGAGTGGCCGGGCTAAGCACACACAGAATAGTCAGGAGACAAGCCGAGTAAGGGGAACCAGAAGACAGAATAACGTGAAACGAGCCGAGGTCAAAGGGTAGGAGAAAGTCACAGAGTCGGATAAACAAGTCAGAGAGTACGTAACCAGAAACGCAAGGTAAGTAGCAATACTAGTAAGCAAAGGCCACAACAGGGCAGGGAGGAACAGGAAAGGTAAGTATTTAAACCATAAGATTAATTCTGATTGGATAATTTCCAATCAGAATTAACAATCACACGTGGGAGATATCTAAACCTCCCACTGTGATTGAGGCACTGTGCCTTTAACGCCGGTCAGGTGACTGACCCCGGCGTGTAATAATTTGGGCGGTCTCCCAGTGTGCAGCGTCATGTATGCTGCCGCTGGGGGACGTGGAGGAAACGGCGGTCGGCATCCGAGGCTGGAAGGATGCCGCTCGCCGAGCCCACGAGGAGGAGGGGACCGCGGATGGCTGGAGGGTGAGTACTGCGAGCGGAGTGCAGCCTCCCCTCGCAGCCGCCCCCGCGGGATCCCGACACATCCTATACCTCTTCCGCATGATACCAATCTCACTACCCAACAAACTAATCAAACTAATGCAATCTGTCATAAATGCGCATGTCTGGAAGCGAAAACCCCCAAGAGGGGCCCAGCGCAACCTAAGCTTTACCTTCACCAAAGGGGGTCTGCCTGACATTAAAACATACTACAGGGCTTCAACTCTAGCACAGGGAGTACACATATTGAGACTTCAGGACAGCTCCCAAAAGCCACTGTGGCTGACACTGGAAGATGCCTACCTGCACCCACAAAACACGTCCCACACATTATGGGCGAACGCCCCCACCAACTCCGACGGGACATACCTCCTACGGTGCTCCCGGTTCCTGCTGAGCTCGTGGTGAACCTGGAGTCATCTGATTCTAGACCCACACTTGCTCTTCAGAGAAGCATCAATAGGGACCCTGACCATATTCTCTCCAGACCCACCTATAGCAGGTTGGATAGCCAGGGGCATACATAAAGTAAAGGACCTACTGGAAGGAAGCAAAATCAAACTGTTCCCTGATCTCCAGCGGGAATTTTCTCTACCCCAAAGGGACATGTACCTCTACCTTAGAACAAAAAACATCCTGTTACCTCACACACGCAAAACAAGTGCAGGGACTAAAGACCCACCCCTGCTGCTCAATAGGGTCCTCACCATTAAGTTTGGGAAACCTCTGTCCATGTGCTATAATGCCCTTCTGGAGGCCCAATCGTGTGAGGAAAGATCCAATATGAAACAATGGGAGGGGGAGCTAGGCCACCAACTAACTATGGCACAATGGTACGAGGCACTATCCAACACAAAGAGTGCATCCAAGAGCCTCTCGCTGTGGGAAGCATACTGCAAAATAGCCATGAGATGGTACCTGGTCCCACATAGACTGGCAAAGATTTGCAAGGGCGCATCCAAGCTCTGCTGGCGATGTGAGGGGGGAGCGGGTACCATGCTACACATGTTCTGGGACTGTCATTCATTGGGTGCATTTTGGACACAGATACAAAACCTCATCTCGAGCACTACAGGCCTCCTTGTTCAGTTGCGACCAGAACACTACCTGCTACACATGATACCTGGAATTTCACCACACCCCCACAAGAAAGTACTTATAAACATACTCATGGTAGCAAAAATCCTACTAGCCCAAAACTGGAAAAGCAAAACAATACCAACCATGGCAACAATCACGGAAAGATTGGATGTCATAAGCTCGTACGAGCGGATGGCTAGCAGGGTGCAGGGACAGGAAAAAAAAAATATGATAGAGAATAGGCAAGTTGGAACCTTAGGTCATGAGCTCCTGCCCCTCGTAGAGTACCCAACTCAGACACTATCAATCACAAAGTAAACCCGCTTGACTGCAGGAATAGCAGAGAAGGGACACTGACAAATATAGGAACTCTAACATGAAAGTAAAGATACTGGGTAGCAAGGCTGGGGACCTTAGGTCTCCCTCCAAGTTATAGTTCTCCCCACCCCTCATGTTCCTATCTCCCTCCCCCCCACAAAAGGCCGACACACCACATACAACACACAGGCCACATCATGGTTCGTAGTCAACAACACCTAGGGGCAAATAATTTGCTCATATCTGTATGTAAAAAGAGAACAAATGTACCACATGCTGAAAAAAGTAACTACTGAAAACACTGAACCATAATGATGGCAGCAATACCTGTAATGTAATAACATGCATACCTGGCATAAACACTTGACTGTAATGTAAAAAAATTTCATGATGTTGGCGAAATAAAGATTATGTATGGAAAAAAAGATTACAGATTGAAATTGAAAAGGTGTGCTATAACGCAATGCTGGGCATACATGCTTAGATGTGGTTTATAAGAGACACACCCACAAAATAGCACTTAAAGGGACACTATAGTCACCTGAACAACTTTAGCTTAATGAAGCAGTTTTGGTGTATAGAACATGCCCCTGCAGCCTCACTGCTCAATCATCTGCCATTTAGGAGTTAAATCCCTTTGTTTATGAACCCTTGTCACACCTCCCTGCATGTGACTTGCACAGCCTTCCATAAACACTTCCTGTAAAGAGAGCCCTATTTAGGCTTTCTTTATTGCAAGTTCTGTTTAATTAAGATTTTCTTATCCCCTGCTATATTAATAGCTTGCTAGACTCTGCAAGAGCCTCCTGTATGTGATTAAAGTTCAATTTAGAGATTGAGATACAATTATTTAAGGTAAATTACATCTGTTTGAAAGTGAAACCAGTTTTTTTTCATGCAGGCTCTGTCAATCATAGCCAGGGGAGGTGTGGCTAGGGCTACATAAACAGAAACAAAGTGATTTAACTCCTAAATGGCAGTTAATTGAGCAGTGAAATTGCAGGGGAATGATCTATACACTAAAACTGCTTTATTTAGCTAAAGTAATTTAGGTGACTATAGTGTTCCTTTAACTTGCTAAAATTCTTTATGTGTGAAGAGTGTATCCTTTTTTTTTCATTTCACAAAACATGCAGATTTCAAGAAATATTGGTGCTTTTATAAATTAATATTGTTACACCCCCCGACTGTCAATCAGACAATCAGTCCTGTTACTTCCTGGTTCTTAAGGATTTAGGGGCAGGTAGTTAGCTAATTTTAGAGAAAAAAAATATTTCAATCTAGCTAAACCTACACAGATGGTTTACAACTAAAAACTTTATATGTAGTAGCATAGCCCATTAGAAGCTAGGTCGCCAATGATTTGGAATCTGTAGGTAATGTCATTATTATTATTATTATTATTTATATAGTGCCAACAAATTCCACAGCACTGTACAATCCTTGGACTAACAAACATGTAATTGTAACCAGACAAGTTGGATGCACAGGAACAGAAGGGTTGAGGGCCCTGCTCAATGAGCTTACATGCTAGAGGGAGTGACACAAAACGTAAGGATAATATTAGAGAAGTAGATTGGTAGAAAAGTATTTACTGAAGACTTAGTGCTCCTTTTTTTTCTAAATGCCAGTTGCAGGAGAGGAATCAATTGGGAGCTATTAACAGTTTAATTGATACACTTTTGTTAAGAAGTGAAATTTTTAAGATTTTTTGAAGGAATGGAGACTAGGTGAGCGTCTAATGGGGAAGGAAAGGGAGTGCCACAGGAAAAGTGCAGCTCTAGAGAAGTCTTGAATGCGAGCATCAGAGGTGGGAGTACAAGAAGGGGATAGACGTAGGTCTTCGGCAGAGCGAAGGGGCCTAGACGAGACATACTTGTTTATTAGGGAGGATAGATAGGTGGGAGCAGCATTATATAGAGATTTGAAAGCAAGAGCCAGACTTTTAAATTGAGCCCTATATCTTATGGGAAGCCAATGCAAGGACTGAGAGAGGGGTGAGGCGTGGGAGGTGTGGGCGGACAGGAAGAGGAGCCTCACTGCTGTATTCATTATAGACTGTGATGAGGCAAGTTGGGAGCAAGTAAGACCACTGAGAAACAGATTCCAGTAGCAGAGGCATAACTAGAAACCATGGGGCCCCTCGGTGCAAAAATTTCCATGGGGCCCCCCCATACATCTCACTCCCCAAGCCCCTTAGCTCCTCCATGTGTCTCATTTACGCCCCACAGGATTAGTGTGGCATAGTTGGGGGGTATAGTATGACAGAATTGGAGCAGTTAATGAGATAGGGTGAGTGTGGCAAGGTGAAAGGGGGCAAGTGTGACAAAGTGATGGAGAAAGAGTGTGACAGAATTGAGTGGGTGAATGTGACAGTGTGAGAGAAGCAGGGCCGGACTGGGAATTAAAAGCAGCCCTGGAAAAAAAATATTTACCAGCCCCATAATGCGTCACGCCAGCATAGTGTGCTGATACAGTTAGAACAGATAACTTAAAATTAAAAAGTACTTCAACGTAAAAAGCGCACACATAGGCTTCAAAATAAACAAAAGTGCAGATTTATTTTAAGCAGACGTGCCTTTGCATGTAATCAATGTTTCAGTCCAACTACCTTGACATATTAAGGAAAGCTTGTTAATGGGACTGAAATGATGAATGTATGTAGGGCACAACTGTATAAAATGTTTATTTTGAAGTCCTGTGGGTGCGCTCTTCACTTTAAATATGTTATTGTGCTGGAGTATGCACCTAGCAACAAGACTGGGCCAGTATCTGCTCATTACATATGGTACCTATTAATGACATTCCTCTGTGTATTATGCATATATAAATGTACATTAATATGTGTAAATATAATAGGTATATATATATATATATATATATAATACTAATACACGCATTAATATACATGTCATATACCAGTTGCGGATCCAGAGCCTAAACCCGGGAGGGGAACTTGTAGATTATTTAAAGAAATATTCCATGCACAATAACCACTACTCCTCTGTGTAGTGGTTATGGTGCCAGGAGCGTCGGCACCCCCTCCCAGAGTAAGTAGTCAAACCGTTTAAGAACAGTTTGACAACTTACCTGGAGTCTGCTGGGATATGGGGCTGTAGTAGGGTATAGGAGAAGTGGTGCAATGTGTGTGAAAGGTTCAGTGTGTGGGTGGGCAGTGTGTGAATGTGTATGGTGTGTGTGTGGGGGCAGTGTATGAATGTGTATGGTGTGTGTGTGTGTGTGTGGGGGCAGTGTGTGTATGGGGCTAGAGTTCACTCCTACTACTGCGACCACCAGGAAGTGGTGAGAGTGAACTCTAGCCCGTAGCTCCAGGGCTAGAGTTCACCCTCGTGAGAGCCGGAGCGTTGCCCCGGGTCCTCTCTTCCTCCCCTGCCTGCACAGTGCCTGTGGAATGGGGAGGGAGATCGGCCGGCAGGGGAAATTGCCCCGTTGCCCCCCCCATCCACCAGTGATATATACTGCCCCTATGTGTGTCTCTATCTCCAGCCCCTCTGTGTGCCTTTTTGTCTCCCCCAGTCACTCTGTATGTTTCTTTCTCCCCCTCACTGCTCCTCTGTGTCAATGTCTCCCCTTTCCTTCCCAGTCTCTCTCTTCCCCCTCTGCCTCTTTCTTGCCCTCCCCTTGTGTGTCTCTCTCATTTCTCCCTCTTTGTCTCTCTCTTCCCCCTCTGCCTCTTTCACCCCCTTTCCCTGTGTCTCTTCCTCCCCCTTTCCCTGTGTCTCTCTCCCTCCCCATCTCTCTCCCTCCCCCCTTTCCCTGTGTCTCTCCCCTCCTCCCCATCTCTCTCCCTCCCCTTTCCTGTGTCTCCCTCCTCCCCATCTCTCTCCTCCCCCTTTCCCTGTGTCTCTCTATCTCTCTCCTTCCCCCCTTTCCCTGTGTCTCTCCCCATCTCTCTCCCTCCCCCCTTTCCCTGTGTCTCTCCCCTCCTCCCTCCCTCTATTCCCCTCTCTGTTTTATCCCCCTCTCCCCCCCCATTTACCTAGAGAAGTCATGGGCCGCGTTCCAGACAGGAGCCGCCGGGCCTGGTGGCACTGCTGTTGCTGATGGCTGAAGGAGGAGGAGCATGTCTACCATGCTCCCTCGCGGTTCCCACAATTCCCAGCACAGGAACCGCGAAGGAGCATGGTAGACATGCTCCTCCTCCTTCAGCCATCAGCAACAGCAGTGACTGGAGTGCCGCTAGACCGGTGAAGCTGCTATCCGGCCCGGCGGCTCCAGTCTGGAACGCGGCCGGCCCCCTCTGAGTGTGCCACCGGACCGGCCACCCGGTGGCACCTATGTGGCAGCAGCCCCAAGGTGCCGCGGCCCACCGGGAAATTTCCCGGTATCCCGGTGGGCCAGTCCGGTCCTGGAGAGAAGGTGAGTGTAATAGGGTGAATATGGCAGAGCGATGGGTGGTGAGTAGGGCATGGGTTAATGACAGGATTGGTGGAGTTATTGTGAGTGTAGCAGGCTGTCAGTGTGTGTGGTGGGGTGACAGTTACACAGACACACCCGTGCATACACTGACACACATGCAGATATACAAACGAACACACACTGACATACACGAAGATACACACAATATAACACATACAGATACATACACGGACACATGCTGATACACATACACACATATGGCTGGCATACATGCAAATGCAGACACACAAACTAACACAAATATACATATAAACATGCAGACACACATGCAGATACACAAACACTTAAGGACAAACATTCAAATACACAAATACACAGAATGACATTCATACAGATACAAACAGTGACACACATACAGATACAAAGGGCACACACTGGCATACAGATACGCAGGCATACAGATATGCAGACAAATAGATACACATACAGACACACACACACACACAAACACACACATACATACATACCGCCACACAAACACAGACACACACATACAAACAGAAACACACATACATACATACAGAGACATACGTACATACAAAAGACACACATACATACAG